ACAAATAGAGGCTAATATGAATACACGTCCTCTCACACCGTTATCTGAAGACCCAGACGAACTCGATGTTCTCACTCCGGGGCATTTTCTAACTGGGTCATCGCTGACAGCATTACCAGATCCAAATTATACGAATGTGCCAACAAATCGGTTGAAACATTATCAACAACTGCAGCAGCTTGTTCAGCAACATTGGGTTCGATGGAGGAAAGAGTACTTGACGGAGCTCAACAACCAGAGGAGGAAGTCTTCAACACCGGTCGATGTTTTCATTGGTCAACTAGTCCTTTTACAAGAAGACAGCAAACCCTCCGTTGCATGGCCACTAGCTAGGATCATATCAATATATCCCGGAGAAGATAATCTCGTTCGCGTTGTGAAGGTAAAAACAGCAGTAGGAACGTATACTCGGGCAGTATCTCGAATTTATCCCTTGCCTTTCGATGAGAATTTGATCCAGCACAAAACCAATGAAGAAGATGAATCATTGCCTGAAAAGTAAAGAAATTTGATTATTTTTTGTTATTTCGATTAGTGTTTACATTCTTTGTTAGCTGAAAATTATTGATGCGAGCGAACGAATACGTAAAAATGTAAGGAAGGTAAATATGTAAACAAATTTAGGTGGCCGGTTATGTTGACAGTTCTAGTAGAATCGGAGATAAGAGAGAAGAGAAAAGAAAATAGGTCGACTCGAATGACAAGTAGATTCGAAACGAGATGTGAGCCATCATCAACAGTGAGGCTCATAAGTATTGGCTATTTTTATTTTATGTTTTATGTTGTCTGTGAACCTAGATGTAAGAGAGAAATAATTTATACTTCACTTCAATTTCAACCTTCGTAAGAATAAGATCGACTAAAGTAAAACTTAATAAAGAACGTAGTGTAGTGATTTTTGTAGTAGCAATCTAATAAAGTTGTTTTATAGTGAATAAAGTGTAGTTTAAAGAAAAACGGAAGTGATTTTTTATACTCATCACCAGCCGGTGTGCTTGAAACTAAAAGGAGGAACTTAAGCACAAGTAGAAAATCAGCTGTACAGAAAAGAATTCCATATTTACGAAGTTCGTGGTTGGAACGCACACGGTAAGGTCACAACACCAACTTTGCGTGCGAGTAGCTCGGATTTTCGCGATGCGCGAGCAAAATTTTGATACGCTGCTCTTCTTGCTTGGACGGCATTTTGACAACTGAAGAGTGAATTCCAAAATCAAAATAGGAGCAACATTCTACACACACACACCTTCAAAATGAGGGGTGTTCAGGTTTTTTAAATGCAAAATTGAAAGAAATACGTCAAGTTGATATTGACCAAATTTTGACCGTATCACCCTTTATCGGCTGACCCCCGGATTTTAATTGTATGCAGGCTCTACCGTCGGTATGGCGTGCGCCGGTCGCTAGACTCGTTTGTCGTGACAGCTATCGAGACGGGAAAAAGAAGCCCTACATAAAAGTGCGTTAAGTGTCACGCTTTTTGATCTCCATGAGCAGGAAGAACATACCTCTTGTTGAGGGCTTCCTTTGTTTCTTCCACGTTCGTCGGGAACCAAACGATGGGGCCTTGTGTATGTCGTGCCAGTCCTCGCTGTAGAAATATTGGTTTCTTGGTCAATCAAAGCCACTTAATTTGTGCCATTTTTGGTTACCTTTTTGCCAACTCGCCCTTGCGATGCTCCAAATTTTCGTCTGCTATCGGATTGGTTGGTGCGGCGACGTGGCTCTGCTGCTGCTCGGGAACTGCAGTGAAATAACCCGTTCTCAACAGACTTTCCACTTTCAATCGGATTAATGTGGCTTCGCCGATCTTCCGGATCTCTGCAAGCGGACGCCGCCCGTTGGTTTTGCGGCGCACACCTACCTTGGTGGTCTGTTACTACACTGCACTTTCACTGCGGGCCATACAAATTTTCACCGCGAACCGACGACTTTCACTGCCACTACGTTGAGCCACCAAATCAAGACTGTTCTGTTCCTCTTCGGTTTCTTCTTTCCCTTTTTCAGCGGAATCCATCTCGGTTCGCCTTTTTTCGATGCGTCAGCAGAAGACAGTGACAGTGATGTTGACTAATTTCTCTTTCTTGCCAATCTTGATTATGGCTGCGATCTACACGGTAACCGCAAAATACCCAATAATGACTACAAAGTAAGCGTTTTCGAGGGAAACTGGGACTACCCATTAAATCGAGTCTATAGCATAAAAAAAGTTATCCTCCTATGGCATAGAGTTGTCCGTGAATCAGGTAGAAGTCCTCGACATGCAGTTAAAGTCGAAAAACTCGTAAAACTCGTTGAAACGCCCAGACATGAACCGTATTGGGTCATGCAAGCTGTAGTTCACAGCACGACGTCCAAGATGCAGGAAACTCCTCGACCGCAGAACTCGTTCGGGTGCGTAGATTTCGAATTTAGCCAAGATTCCTGGAGAGTCGATATCACCAATAAGTACTTTCGCTGCGAACACGGCCTGACTAATCGTCCGCCTATGTTCTAGTGTTTCAAGACCCAGGAGTTGACAACGATCTTCGTACGGCGGAAGGTTCACAGGGTCATTTCAAGGAAGGTGACGAAAGGCATACCGAACAAATTTCCTTTGAACAGATTCAATGCTCGCTATCCAAACTGCTTGATACGGGCACCATACTACCGAGCTGAATTCCAAGATCGATCACACTAGAGAGCCTTATAGTGCTTTTAGACAGGCAGGATCGCGAAACTCGTCAGCGATCTTGAAAATGAACCCGAGTTGCCTGTTAGCTTTCGCAACGATGCCCGAGTAATGAAGCTTGAATGTTAAGGCGCAGTCCAGCGTGATTCCAAGGTCACGAACATTGTCCACACGTTGCAGAAGTTGGTGATTTATCGTTTCAGCTTGCGATACACATTGTACATTCAACGTGAGATAGTTTCTTGAGCACCACTCTTCGAAAGTATCGATTAGGTGCTGAAGCCGTAAGCAATCGACGAAGCAACGAACAATCAGTTGGGAGGATCAGTTCGGCCTCATTCACAAAAATCGAGAATAGCAATGGTCCCAAGTTGCTACCTTGAGGAACACCGGAGCTGTTTGTAAAATAGTCCGATTGCTCTGATCCGACTCTAACACAAAGTTCCCGATTGGTCAGATAGGACTTGTACCAACGAGTTAAACTCGAGGATACACCGAGTTTTTCAAGTTTAGCTAGCAGTATGGAGTGGTCAACCCGGTCGAATGCAGCCTTGAGATCTGTATATACAACGTCCACCTGCGCTCTAGCTTCCATACTCCGAAGACATAAAGAAATGAACGGAGCTAGATTTGTTGAAACTGATCTCTTGGGATAAAAACCGTGTTGGTCAGGAGAAATGTAATTTCTGCAGAATAATGCGTCGTTGATGATGATTTCGAAAACTTTAGAGCAGGCACTGAGTGATGTGATCCTTCGGTAATTTTGGACGTTTCTCTTGTCTCCTTTCTTGTAGATCGGGAACATGGAAACTCCCCCCGCTGTAATGAAATATTGAACAGCTTCGAAAGCGGTGTTGTAAGCTCTGAACAGCATCGCTTCAGGATGCTTGAGGGGATCCCGTCAGGGCCAGCAGCACTGGAAAATTTCAGCTTCTTGATGGCGGATTCGACGAGGTCTACTGTAATCAAGGTAATCGAAAAATTGAAAGCATCACTGGGAGTGTCCCTCACCGCTTCAGCAACTTGGGACAACGAAGCCGTAGTGTCATTGAAAATGCTTTTGAAATGTTCTGCCAGAGGATTGCATTTCTCGAGGGAATTGCTGGCGATTCTATCACCCAGGTGAATTTCGACTGATAGCCCCTCCTCTCCTTAAGGAGAGGATGACTTGCAAATACTTTAAATTAGATTATTAAATCGATTGTTTACATTTCCATATTGAATAGCCATGAACAGCCATTCATCATGGATACACAAATTGCTAGTTGGTAGAGGAATCTTCATCCACCACGAAATAGACAATCTACGGTTTCCACCATTTACCAATGTTCGTACCACTTCTGATAGCGATGGCTATGCTTCCACCTCGTTTGTCTGCTCAGAGCAGCAAATGATGTTCGCTAGAATTATTTACATCATCGTTTTGAACAGGAGACTGGCAACCCCATATCAATCCAATAAGTTTGACAGTAGTCAAGATCACGGGCCTTATTTAAATACGGCCCGCCTGACGTATACATGAAGGAAAGGGACGCAACATCGTGTTGTAAGCAGAAAGACAAGAGCAGATGAAAGCAGCAAAAACATGGCCGCCAGCCAGGCCCCTGGTTTTGAATGATTTACGTTAAAGGGCTGAACCAATACCAAATGCATTTCAATTTAAGATGACTATCATTCTGCAGAGAGCATTGCGCACTCCAACTGAAGGCCTATCAATATCGCCTTTTAGAGTGATAGCTGCAACCGGATGACGGTTGTTTTGAAATCAGATGATTTTCCTCTCAAATGCTCAGAAGCAGGCATGGAAAATCATTTGCATTCATTTCATACATTCATTTACATTAATTTGCCTCTAACTTTTTTCATCAACAGCATTCCGCAAATCCAGATCAAGTTCGTTCAAATTTGGCACAGTTGTTAGGGATCGTAATATAGATGGAAAGAGCAGGGGGTAGGGATCCATCATACAGATTTGACCCATCCTAATGAATACCTTTCTCTTCCAACGATAGGAATTTGGTTTCAATGGGTTCAATTTACGATATCAATAAAACTGAAGCATCATCATTCTAACAACAATGAAATCTAAACTATCACGACAAAACAAAAATCGTTGCGAATTCATTGATCTTAACACCTCATGTAATCAAACACGATTTTTGAATAGATATTGCACGAAGCACATATATATATATATATATATACTTCAAGTACCGTCAATCCATAACCATTCTCGTTAACACAATCCGTATCTTATCTGAAATTTAGAGCGTCAGGATACTTATCGCATCCGTAGGTCCCTCGTTAAAAAGACTCCAAAACCAATGGCTTAAATCAGTACTCGCGTAGAACTGGGCCGATTAGGATGATCGCCCACAAGTTATCGGTATTGCTGTGCGGGCTAGTTCTAGTCGCCTTCGTCATGGCGGCAGAACGACCCATGACCAAACAGGCTGACGTTGATCCTCCTTTGATAGCTCCCGAGAATGTGGCGGAAGAAAGTGAATTTGTGCCGTTCCAGGAAGTGGATGAATCTTACCGTCTGCCAAACACAAGTGTCCCAACCCACTATAAAATCCATCTGCAAACGGAAATTCATACTGGAGATAGAAATTTTCAAGGATCCGTGGATATCCATCTAACAGTGCTCGAGCCAACCAACACAATTGTCGTTCACAATCGTGGACTTCAGATTCAAAGTGTTAAACTTGCCTTAGTTCCTTCCGCTGGAGCCAACCCAGAGCCGATGAACGATCCAACCTGGGCTTATGATACCCGTGTTGAACAACAATCCTTCCATAGTGAAACTCTGCTGACCCAAGGAAATTACATTCTCACCGTAACATTCGTCGGCAGATTGTCGAACAACGAAGATGGCTTCTATGTTTCCTCTTACGTAGACAAAAATGGTGCAACCAAGTACTTGGCTACTACGCAGTTCGAATCTACCAGTGCTCGCATGGCATTCCCGTGTTACGATGAACCTGGACTCAAGGCCACCTTCACCTTGTGGATCACCCATTATCGTGGTTATAACGCGCGGTCCAACATGGACTATACGTTCGAAATCCAAGGGGACTATCGGTTGACCAAGTTCAATACTACCCCGATGATGTCCACGTATCTACTAGCGTTTGTGGTTTCAGACTTTGCATTCCTAGGACCCAAAAATCACAGCGTTTACGCGCGTCCAAATGCCATTGATGAAGTTGATTTTGCCATTGAAGCAGGTCAAAAAATCCTGAGTGCCCTTGACACTCATATTGGCATCGGATACTACGAATACATGCCGGAGATGAAGCAGTTTGCCATTCCAGATTTTGCTGCAGGTGCCATGGAGAATTGGGGTTTGGTCACGTATAGGTAATACAATACATGTTTTTGGAAATGAACCGACGGAAATTATATAACCTAATCTTAATCTTGTCGAGCCAGTGGACTGTATCATTTAATTACTATCGATAAGTGCTTACGACAGGCGATCAAAAAGCAATGTATCATAAATGTTTCACAATCTTTATCTTTATAGGGAACAGTATCTACTGTTCAACCCTGCACTGAGTACTTATCGCACAAAAACCAGTATTGCTACAATCATTGCCCACGAGTACGCGCATCAGTGGTTTGGCGATTTGGTCACTCCCGAATGGTGGGAGTACATATGGTTGAACGAAGGATTCGCTACATTGTACGAATACTATGCTACTCACTTGGCGTACCCGGATGCGGAGTACTGGGAACTCTTCAATCCACAGGTTATCCAGGCCGCCATGGTTCCCGATGGACTTGAATCCACTAGACCGATGACTTGGAATGCTGATACTCCTTCGCGGATTTCGAACTTGTTCGATCGCGTTGCTTATCCTAAATGTAAGATTTCGTTGATGGTTCAAAGCACGAAATAATATTTCATCTTCAATTTACAGCGGGCAGCGTGCTAAACATGATGCGCAACATTCTCGGTGACGAGAACTGGGCTGCTGGGCTTAAGGCATATCTTCTCGAAAGACAACTTAAGAATGCTAATGTGGAACATCTTTATGCTGGACTACAGTCAGCAATTGATGGCAAGGATGTTCTCCCACCAGGAGTTACCGTCAAGGATATTATGGATACCTGGACAACGGAAAAGGGTTACCCGGTACTAAGCGTACGGCGAACATACGAAACCGGTGCGGTGATCATCTCGCAAGAACGTTTTATCTCGGATCGCAAAGTGCCTAACACGAACATTTGGATGATACCGTACAACTATGTCAACCAGTCTGTTGCGGATTTTAACGAACTGAACTCCTATAGCTGGTTGACCACGAAAGCTGCCCGTATCAGCACCGATGTTCCAGCAAACCAATGGATCATTTTCAACAAACAGCAGGTCGGCTTCTACCGTGTCAACTATGACGATAGGAATTGGGAACTCATCACGAATGCTTTGATCGACAACTACGCTAGCGTTCATCGACTTAATCGTGCCCAGCTGATTGACGATGCTTACTGGTTGGCTCGTTCTGGACGATTGGATATTGAGATTCTGATGAAATTGCTTACCTACTTGAAGGATGAAATGGAGTATGCTCCCTGGACGGCTGCCAGCAATGTTCTCTCGTACTTCAATAATAAACTACGCGGAACGCCAGCATACGACGACTTTTCGGTAAACTTATCTCTCATGCTCATATTTTCTAAGCAATTAATTCAAATCTTGTTTACCTTTTGCCCTTAGACCTTCGTACACCACCTTATCCAGAAAGTGTATGCAACCCTGGCTATCGATTCAGTTTCCGATACAGAAACACTTCTCCATAAGTATATGAAGCAGACCATCTCTACCTGGGCGTGCATCGTAGGAAACGAAGACTGTCTTGAACGAACCAAGTACGCCCTTACTCTTGAAGCAGTGCACCCAGGCTTGGACGACTTCAGAGTTCACCCCGATATTGCCAGTGTTGTATACTGCTACGGTCTGCGAAATGCTAGTACAACCGAGTTCCAGTATCTGTACGGTCGTATCTACCCCTCGCAGAATTGGGCTTTCCGCACGATGATTATTGATGCGATGGGTTGTTCCCAGAACAAGGACTTCCTCAAGGCATTCCTACAAACCGCAATTGGAGGCAGCGGAGCTGGTGTTGAGATCAACTACAAGTCCGCTGAACGTAGCCGAATAGTTCAATCGGTATACTCGGGCGGACGTGCTGGTGTCGATGCATTGATTGAATTCCTGATGGATCCCAATATGATCAACGATTTCATCAGCCGACTGGGAATCAACACTCTTAATAGTGTTATCTCAAACATCGCTTCACGTACTAATACACAGGAAGAATTTGATAAGGTAAGATGACAAACGTTGTTGATGTAACTACGTTTATTAAAAGTTTTTCCTCATTACAGCTGAATGCTTTGTTAACCTATCTGGGAGATCGCATCACTTCAGCGACTGCTGCAGCTGCTCGTGCTACTGTTCAAGCCAACTTTGACTGGCAGCAGAGCTACGAAGGACTTCTTACGGTTAATTTTGTCGAACAATATGTCGATACGATTGAGCCGGAAACGACCTCAAACCCGATTACCACCACTACTACTGCTGCAACTACAAGCCCCGGATCGGTAGAAACCACAACAGCTGGTATCACTACCACGACACCGGATGACGATGGTGGCGCAACTACCATTGCAGTTTCCATTACGCTTCTAATCAGCGCCATTACCGTTACCTTATTGCACTAGAGTACAGCAAATCATGTTAAGTAAATAATAGTCAACGTTATATTTTAAAACTCGATATATTTTCAATTAACGGATGTGGCTCATTGATGACAATCTTAATTACCCTGCCGTTATCGTATCCTGACAGATAAGATAACGTTAATTTGGCAACGTACCCCAGGTGTGCGTATTTTCCCGATTCAGCGTATTATATAAATATAAAATTTCAAAATTATGCTGCAGTTCATTGCAGTTAGTCAAAGACTGAATATGGCATTACGGTTGGTTATTTGCCTGGCAGGTCTTTTCGCGGTGACCGTCAGCGGTCAGCGTCTCAAGTTCGACAGATACAGTGCGCAGCTTGATGAGCTGAAGCAGTCAGCTTCAGAGCAGCTTGCAGCCAACGAGCAAAGCTTCACCTCATTTAGGCTACCAAACACATCAATTCCAACGCAGTACACCTTGTACCTGGACACCAACGTGCATTTGAATGACTTCCAGTATTCTGGAAGCGTTCAGATTCAGCTAACCACCTTGGTCGACACCAACCAGATTGTGTTGCACAGCACTGGAAACGTTATCAACAATTTGCAGCTATTTACCACCAATCAACTGGGAATAGCATTGAACGGGTTCTTCCATGACGAAGAAAAAGAATTTCTGGTTATCAACACCAGAGCAACGCTGCCGGCTAACACCAACTATCGACTGCTGATCGAGTTTTCAAATCAACTTCGCAACAGCCTAACTGGATTCTACCGGACATCGTACAGGGCTGAAGATGATACGACCAGGAACCTTGCCGTGACCCAATTTGAGGCTACCTTCGCCAGAAGTGCTTTCCCGTGTTACGATGAACCGTGGATTCGGGCCACCTTTGCCATCAGTATTAGCTGCGGAGTTAGCTACAAGGCTACTTCCAATATGCCAATTGCTGGAATAACCATTCAGTAAGTATGTCGGATTTAGGTTGAAAAAAACAATGATCTACCTCATTTGTAATCTCAGACCTAACCAGAAGAAGTTGACCCAATTCCAAGTGACACCTCGTATGCCAACGTACCTGGTAGCATTCATGGTTACCGATTTTACCAGTAAGCGAGTTGTTATGAAGGATCCCTCGCATTTGACGATGGAGATATTTGCTCGGCCGACTGCGATCAACGAACTCGAACTAGGACTTCAAAAAGGTGTCGACGCCATCCGCGCAATCGAACGGTATTTCAATCAAACTTATCATCTTCCAAAATTGGATCAAGTAGCGGTACCGGAATTTATGTTCGGTGCCATGGAAAACTGGGGCCTGGTAAAGTATCACGAATCCTACCTGCTGTTCAACGAAGAGACATCGAGAAATCTTGACAAAGAGTACATAGTAGCAACCATCGCCCATGAATTGGTGCACCAGTTTTTTGGAAATCTTGTCACACCAAAATGGTGGACTGACATCTTCCTGAACGAGGGGTTCGCCACTCTCTACGAGTACTATATCGGAGCGGAAATTGAGCCCAGCATACGATACAAGGAACTGATCGCTGTGGAAGCCGTTCAGTCTGCGTTCTACGTGGACAGTATGCCATCATCTAGGCCGCTGTCTTACTACAAGGAAACCAATGTGATGTCTTTGTTTGACACCATTTCCTATCAGAAAGGAGGTAGCGTTTTGCGCATGATAAGCTACGCCCTCGGAGAACGCACGTTCCAGAAAGGACTACGACACTATTTGGCTGTCAAGTAAGTTGTTCTATTTCGTACAAAATTAGGGGTGGAAAGTAATTCTTTCTTTTCGTATTCAGCAAAGATAGTGCTGTGGAGCCTGATGACTTGTTCGAAAGCCTCCAGTCTGCAGCAAAAGAGGATGCCGTTATTCCACTAAGCACTACAGTGGGAGCAATTATGAGCCCATGGGTGTACCAGTCTGGTTATCCAGTGGTCACTGTTACACGCCTCTCTGGTAGCAACGAACTTGTATTCAAACAGGAGCATTTCTCCGATAGTTCACCCGATTCCCGTACTTGGTGGATTCCGATCAGCTATCGTCTAAGTCACCAAACTGTACGTGACGAAACGGAAACTGTGTTCTGGATGCCGCATGGTGCTTCAGAGGTATCCATTGAATTGGACATTCCAAACGATGCATACCTGCTGGTAAATCCGCATCAAACAGGATACTATCGAGTCAACTACGATCGTGAACTTTGGGAAAAATTAATCGTTCAACTGATGACAGACCACGAAGCGATTCCACCGGTCTCTAGAGCACAGTTGATTGATGATTCGCTGAAACTGGCGATGGCTGGAAAGCTGGACGTCACTGTAAGCTTTGACCTGTTCAAGTACCTATCCAAAGAACTGGACTTCATTCCATGGTATACTGCATTGGCGTCGGATAATCTGCAATGCATCAACAAGGCATTAGTAGTAGATAATGCAGCCTACGATGCACTGAAGGTAAGAGGATGTTGTTTTTATCTGCTCTTTATTGACATTCTTTGTACCGTAAATGGCCATTTTAAATCACATTAAATACGTGTCAATCAAGAAATGAGCAGTTCCACGCCAAATGAAAAACTCGACCTTCTCCGGTTTGAATGAGACATTGCATAATAGTTTGTTATGCGAAATGATTCACATTTTTGCTAAAATTCGGCCATTGTATCTTGTATTCCTTAAATGACGTCTTTGAATTTTGTCGAAAAGTTATTGCACGGAAACGGCACTTCTGATCCAAATGACGTCTGAGACAAAGTTGATAAGAAAAATAATTTTTTTCTGGGAAAAAAATAGTTTTTAAAAATTTCAAGTTTGGAAAAAAGTTAAGACCTAAGTATCTCAAAATGTCCAGATGAACAGATTAAGAAATAAAAAAAAGCTCAGGAAAAATGCAAATTTTTGGAATGTTAAAATTATGGACAGTTAAAAGTTTACAAAAATCTTAAAACAAGAACTTCTGGTCAAGTTGTTGAACTTTTTGTTATAACAATCTTGTAATTTATACTCAGAAAACAATGTTTAATGCACTTTACATAATTTTCTGTTAAAATGAACACAACAAAAACGTAATGACAAAAAAAAAATTACCAAAAGTTCTTGAAGTGTCACAGGCGTCTTTGCGATCAGAAATTCCTAAATTTCAAGGAGGCCATTTTGAAAATTTTAGAAGATCAAGAATAGTCGAATTTTAGCAAAATTGTGAATTATTGCCCATAACAAACAAAAACGCAAAGTTTTACACTCATCGGAGCAGGTCGATTAAAAAATTCATTTTTCCTCTATTTTGCCTGGAACTGCTTAAATGATGCCCTACAGCTTGATTGAATGTATTTGTACATTATCAGTGAAATAGTGACATTGATGAATTGTCGGAGTAGGGCTTATCGTATGTATAGCTTCGGAATTCGTTCTCTAAATGGGCCTTTGGAGCTACGGTAATGCTATCACCGTCGAACTTTCAGATTCAAGCTATTCAAACAATTTCTTTAAATAAATGTGTAACGACAATCTTGCAATGTTTCAAAAATCAAAACAAAGCCATTTATTGACGAATTTCAAATCTTTTGGCGTTATTTGATACTACAGAATTTAAGGATTTGGTGTCAATAGATTTAAAATCCTATAGATAAATTGCTGAGCAATGATTTTTCAAACATTAACAATTAGCCGTTACATATTTTATCGAAAGCGGAATGTTAATTTTGAAAAAAAAATTCAGTATTTTTATATCATCTGAAAGCACATCGTTTTCTGAAATCATGAAATCAAACAATGATTCATGATTTCGTTATGGAAATTCATGATTCCATAATGCAGTGGAATCATGACCACTTCAAGCGTCATCTGGAACACCGTGTTCACCGCGCTACATAGGTATCTCTTATACGCCTTTTACCTTCCATCTTAGAGCACCCGTACCAGTCGTTGTCATTTGCGGCACTATTTTACTTACGCACAACGTTTCCATTTTGGCTTAATCACTTCTCTCCACACCGGTCGTTGCTATCAGAGTCATAATTTAAGTTACCGCTTTCCACACCAGCAAAACAAACTTTTGGCGTTTATTCAAAATAGCAACCGTCTGATGCGTTGCTACCGGGTTGCTAAATTTTTTATGAACTCACTACTTCCCAAGGTGTGGATTGCTATTTCCCCCATCTAAATAGCAACCCTCGGTACGCAAGTAGCGTTATGGTAGAGGTTGGTAAATGTCCCTTATTTACTCATTGGTACGGTTGCTCTAAGAGTACAAGTACTTATAGTCTAGTGGTCAAGATATATAGGCACAGACAAACTCTTAACAGAAAATTCTTTAAAAAAATATCGTCAAGCATATTTAAATGCACACTAGCACCATAGAGGTAACTCTAAGACCACTGGGTCCCGAAGAAAATCATTATTATTTTTGGCTCACTCAGTACCAGAACAACGGTCCCAAGCAGTCCCATGCTATTTCACTCACCCCTGCATGTTCTGCATGAATCCACACACCCCTGATGTTATCTGTCAAACTTTCATAGCGAATCAAAACAAACATAGTGTAGTAATAGAATTTCAACTAGAATAGGGTACGTTAATCGTTTGCTTGGGACCAATAGGCTACTAAAGTGGTGAGCCACTTTAAAATCGTTAGTTTCGTATTGATTGTTGCTAGCACCATAGAGGTAACTCTAAGACTAGAAGGTCCCGAAGAAACGTGCTCAACTTTTTGGCTCAGCTCTGGTACTCTCTTCGGTCCCAAGCTAACCGATTCACCCCTCGAAACATAGGAAAATCCACTAACCCCTCATTTTATCTGTCAAACTTTCAAAGCGAATCAAAACAAACATTGTGTAGTACTAGAATTTTGACTAGAATGGGGTACGTTAATCGATTTATTCTGGACCAATAGGCTAGTCAAGTAGTGAGCCAATTAAAAATCGGTAGTTTCCACTGGTTGGTAGTAGTGTTTTTGTGGGATACTCTTAGTTACTTTAAATAGCCGGAGATGAGGGTGTTGAAAAGTTTATTCACAATTGTTTTGAAGCGGAACGGGCAAACATTAGCTTTGAATTTATCATACTCGACATGTTCAGATACACGGTAAGAAAAAAGTAAAGTTCACTTTTACCTACTTTTGACTAGTTTGTCTCCTTTTCTCCTTCTAATGTTGTCAAAAACGGAGGAGCAAAACCACCCAACGTAGTAAAGTAGTAAAGTGTGGCAACTCAACGTTGAGTATAATGATATTTACCTACTTTTGGGTAAAACTAACTCACTGGTGGGTAGAAAGCTAGTGGAAAATTCCATACCATTTGCACACAAGTAAATGAGGTGCGACCCTCGAGCGTCTGTTCACCATGGAGGTGCGGCTCAAACAGCGTCTGTCTCGGAGCGAGCGGCTGAATAAGAAATGCTGTATCACGTCAGCTACACCTAAGGTGGCAGCCCCACCAACATGATGTAGGTATCGCGACCCCGGTAAGGTAGCATACTGAAACCCCCAACATTACTCAGAAAAACGAAGAAAGAGAAAACAACGAACGGAATTTTCGGCAACCGACCCGGCAACGAAATAAGGACAATGAATGGAAACTCGGTACTTGGAATGTCAGAACCTTAAATGAACCTGGACGAGCGGGCCTTTTGGCTCGTGAACTGCAAAAAGTGAATGTGAGCGTAGCTGCTATTCAGGAAGTACGGTGGCCTAGATCCGGAGAACGTGAATTCCGGGCGGTGGATCCCATCGCCAACACTTCCTTCAAGTATCATATCTATCACAGCGGTGGCGATAGGGCAGAACATGGAGTAGGGTTCATAGTGATCGGGAAGCAGATGAAGCGTGTTATGCGGTGGAGACCGGTAAACGACCGCATCTGTGTATTAAGGATTCGGGGCAAATTCTTCAACTACAGCCTGATCAACATCTATGCGCCAACCAACGATAAATCCGATGACGTGAAGGACGCGTTTTATGACAGTCTCGATAAAACTTATGATGAGTGCCCAAAACACGACGTGAAGATTGTAATCGGAGATGCAAATGCGCAGGTCGGGAGGGAAGATTTCTTTCGTCCAATCATTGGTACAGAGAGCCTGCATACAGTAACCAATGATAACGGCCTGAAACTGATAAACTTCGCCGCTGCTAGAGGTATGGCCATCAGTAGCACCTACTTTGCACGCAAGAATATCCGAAAGCACACCTGGAGACACCCAAATGGCGAAACTTGCACCCAGATCGATCACATGTTGGTGGATGGCCGGCACTTCTCAGATGTCATTGATGTAAGGACTTTTAGGGGGCCTAACATTGACTCAGATCATTATCTTGTTGTCTGCAAAATTCGGGCGCGTCTATCGACCGTTACGAATTCAACGAACCGGAGATCGATGCGTTTCAATATCCATCGCTTGTCAGTAGAAGGAGTTGCTGCAGAGTACCGCCAGAAGCTTGATGAGCGGATTAGCGAAATCAACGTGAACGAGGACCTCAACAATCTGTGGAACACAATCCACGGAGCGGTGAACACAACAGCACAAGAAGTGATAGGTACAGCTCAAAGACGACCACGTAATGGCTGGTTTGATGAGGGAGGAGTGCCAGAGGTTGACGGATGAGAAAAACGTTGCCAGAAGCCGGATGTTAGTGTCTGGTACCCGGCTGAACAGAGAGCGGTACAAGGTAGCAAGGGCAGCTGAGAAACGAACCCACCGCAGAAAGAAAAGGCAATACGAAGAACGCGTGATTGCTGAGGCGCAAGAAAGTATGGAACAGAACGATATGCGAAGGTTCTACGCGACTGTCAATGGTGTGCGGAGTAAAACAGCGCCATCTCCCGCCATGTGCAATGACCTTGAGGGGAATTTGCTGACAGATAAAACAATGGTGGCTGCCAGGTGGAAAGAACATTTTGAGACATTGTTGAATGGAGAGAGTGAGGGAGTATCGAGGAACAGAGTAAACATCGCAGACGACGATCAAGCTGTGGAGCCTCCAACGCTAGACGAGGTTAAAAAGGCAATACGTGAGCTGAAAAACAATAAGGCTGCTGGGAAGGACGAGCTCCCGGCCGAACTTTTCAAATACGGAAGTGAGCAGCTGCATCAAGCAATCCACCGTATTCTAACGAAGATATGGGAGGACGAAGAACTGCCTGCTAGCTGGTTGGATGGCCTCATTTGCCCATTATTCAAAAAAGGGCACAGACTCGAGTGCGCCAATTATCGAGGAATAACTCTTCTGAATTCGGCGTACAAAATACTGTCACGCGTTCTGTTTAACAGATTGAGACCGCTTGAGGAGTCCTTCGTCGGTGAATACCAGGCTGGTTTTCGTGAGGGTCGATCAACGACGGATCAAATGTTTACCCTGCGTCAAATCCTTGATAAATTCCGGGAGTACAACTTGCAGACTCACCATCTGTTTATTGATGAAAGCAGCATACGATTCAGTGAAGAGAAATGAGCTTTGGCAG